GCACCATCAAAGAGACCAAGTGTCAAGGCTCTCAGATGGTAGTTCATTGTAATAGCCTGGCCCTATTCAGGCTGTATCCTCTGATAGCCAGCAACCCCACCGTACATTGGTTGGATGAACAGGGAAGCAGGCACCAAGATGAAATGAGAAATGCAAGAGATTTATCTACATATATATTTGGAAGATAAAGAGGAAAGGAAACAAGAATAGGCAGGAAATTCTTCAGGCTATGATGCAGGTTGGATATCTAATAGGAAAGGAATGGGTAGGAAGAGTCTCACACTGAAGGGCAATTCTGAGAAAGTCTCATCCAGCCTAATGGAAAGATTGCCGTACATACTGAGCAGCAGTTGCTTGGTCCTAGTCCTCCCATCTTGCCTGGTCACTTTTTGGGCACACCTAGAAAGAATATATTCTTGGCTCAGACACTAAGAAAGGTCCTGAAGACACTAGGAATGCAATATAATGTTTGCACATGTGAGTCTGGCTTATTTCACTTGTAAGTATGGTCTCGAGTTGCATCCATTTACCTATAAAAGTCTCCAGTTTATCCTCCTTTATGGCTGAGTAGTACTCCATTGTATAAAAAGACTACATCTTTTTTATCTGTTCCTTGGTTGATGGGATTTGGGTTGTTTCCAAGATCTGACTATTACAAATTGTGCTGCTATAAATATGGGTGCACATATATTGCTGTGGTATGATGTTTTTAATTCTTTTGGGAAGATACCCAGATGGGGAATAGCTAGGTCAAATTGGATCTCCAATCCCACTTTTTTGAGGAATCTCCACACTGATTTCCATAGTGGTTGCACCAGTCTACACTCCCACCAACAGTGGAGAAGGGTTCTTTTTCCCCTATAGCCACACCAGCATTTGTTATTGGTTGATTTCTTGATAATAGCTATTCTTTCCGGGGTGAGATGGAATCTCAGTGTTGTTTCGATTTGTATCTCTGGAGTGGCCAGTATTTTGAACATTTTTCTATATATTTATTTGATGTTTGTATTTCTTCATCTGAGAAGTCTATGTTCATCTCAGCTGCCCATTTTTGGATTGGGTCTTTAAATTTGGAAGGTCTGATATTTTTTAGTTCTTTATACGTTTTTGATAGTGATCCTTTGTCTGAACAGGTGGCAAACATTTGTTTCCCGCATTGTAGGTTGTCTCTTCACTCTGTTGGTGGTTTCTCTTGCTGTGCAAAAAGCTTTTTAATAAGGTCAGATCCCAGTTGTTGATAGTCCAGTGGGATCAGGGTTTTGTTCATGAAATTTTGCCTATACCTGTGTCTTCAAGAGTGCTGCCTATTGTCTCTTCCAGCACACTTAGTGTTTCTGTTTTAGTATTCAGATATTTGATCCATTTTGAATGTAGTTTAATGCATGGTGAAGGATATGGGTCCAATTTTAATCTCTGGCATGTGCAGAGCCAGTTTTTCCAGCACCATTTATTAAAGAAACTATCTTTCTTCCAGTGAATGTGTTTGGCACCTTTGTCAAAGATAAGGTGACTATGTCTGGAGTTGTTTCTGCATCTTTTAATCTGTTCTATTACTCTTCAGGTCTTTTTTTTGCCAGTACTGTACTGTTTTTATCACTGAAGCTTTATAGTGTAATTTTAAGTCAATGATTGTGATTCCCCACCTTGCCTTTTTTGCCCAGAATTGTCTTTGCTATTATAGGTGTCTTCTGGCTGCAAATGAATTTTAGGATTGTTTTCTCTAATTCTGTGAGGTATACTCTTGGAATTTTGATCGAAATTGCATTAAATTTGTATAACAGCTTTGGAAGTATGGCTATGTTCACTATATTGTTCTTCTTACCCGAGAACAAGAGATATCTTTCAATTTTCTGCTATCCTCTTCAATCTCCTTTTTAAGAGTACTGTATTTTTCAATGTAGAGTTCTTTCACATCCTTTGTTAGGTTGGCCTTTTCTCTTTTTTGATAGGTACTAAATAGAGGCCCACAGAAGAATACATAGAATTCAAATAATGAGCCAGGCATGATGGTACTTGCCTCTGTAATCCCAGCACTGAGGGAAGCTTAGGCAGGAGGATCACAGGTTTGAGTCCCACTTGGGCAATTGAGTGAGACCCTCTCTCAAAATGAAATGAAATAAAATGATAAAATAGGGCTGAAGATGTAGCTTAGTGGTAGAGTGTTCTGGGATTTAACCCCTAGTATGACAAAAAACTTCAAATAGTTGATTCCTTTGCCTCCCCTCAAACCTGTTCCAAAACCACCTCTCTAAAGAGTTTCAAACTGTGAAGAAACTTCTTGTTGAGAGTGGAAGCTGACACTTTCTCTTTCACCCATCTTCAGCACAACTTTGCCAAGAAGATTAGCTACAAGCTCCTTTTAACTCACAAAAGAGAGTATCAGTTGACCCACATGGTGTATGTGTAAATATCTTCATACATTGTACATATAATTCACTCTTAATTTGACTCTCACAATTTTTAATTAGCATTGAATGAGTAATAGAAATTGTTTTGTGAATACTACCAGCAATCTGTTGGACATTTTTTCTCCTGATTTATAGATTGTCATTTGTGAAATTTTATGGTGAATAAGCAATCACATTGTCACTGCTAAGTTACAAGAGTATTTCATTTATACTGTTTAGTAGTACAAACTTCATAGGAAATTATGTTTTAAAATTTAAGTTTTAAATTTAAATTTATAAGCCATTTATATCACATAGTTCTTTCCATTCCTCTTTGTGAAACATTGTTTAATCTGTTATTTTTATTTTCCTCTTTTTCTGCTTTTAGCCCTTGGTCATAGAATCATATGGGGTACAAGGGATTGGGATAGACAGGGAAAGGAAAGAAGGGAGGACCACACGCATGAGTAATCTATTTCAACCTTGGATATATACTAGCATGGTAGAACAAGCCTGTAAGGTGCAGTGGAGTATTTTTTCCCCTACAGGAGTATTTAAATGAGGAACCAAGGAGTATTTTTAGAAGAACTGACCTTAACAGGAAAAAAAAGATTGGAAGCATAAATGATTTGCTTAAGCATAGTGAGCAAACCATTCTCCATAAGGGCAATTTTCAGCAAGACATGAAGTTTTTATTATTATTATTATTTCAGCTCACCCCCTATAGACTTTTACTTAAGACAACGAGGAAAAAATTTTAAGAGCAGCAATTTGTCCACAAAGTCTGTTTGACAACAGTTACACAACATAACACACAGAAGGGAGGAAGTCAGGGATTGCCATATGGAAGGAGTTGACAGAGTGGGAAGTGATGCTAGAAGGGCCAGCGGTGTGGCCCAGAGGCACAGCTTTTGAACTGGGAGGCAATGGCACAGGATAATTTGGGTGTATCAGTGGAGGTGATGCTGCCTGTTAGTCAGTAAGAGAGAGCATGTTACCTTCAGAAATCACCACACTTACAAGAGCCAGAAGTTGAAATGGGCTGTGTTATAAGCATATGTGGAGGTGTACTGGTGACTCCCTGGAAGGATGCGGAGGGCCTCTAGGGGAGGGCCAGGCTCTTACTCCAGTGGAAATGACCTTTCAGAATGTCTGATCCAAACCTAGCTGATTTAGAATTCTTCCCAGAAGATTTGCTTGAAGGTCTCCAGTGACAGGGGCCACGTGTCTCCCCTAATCCCTGATTGCATCTCTGGGCAGCTTTGCCTTTCTTCACCCCCAAATTGTTTCACAGTCCTTTTCACACTCTGCTTTCGGGGCTACAGAATGATGCTCCTCGCTCCTCTGTAGAAAAGCTCTTTGATTATTTAGAAATGGCTAACATACCTCAAGAGTTGGTTCCTCCCTGAACTGAATATCTTCCTTTTCTTCAGTTGTTCCTCATGTGGCAGGCATTTGTATTCTCTCAACACCCTCTTCCAAATACACTCTAATTTGTCTGGGAGTATGACCTCCAGAGCTGGACACAGTATTCCAGGAGGAGTCAGTTCAGCTAAGAGCAGAAGGAAGGAAGCTATTTGTTATCTGCTATCCTCATTCCAGGAATTTCCCATTCCCAACTGCTACATGTAATATAAACTCCCATTCTGTATGGGGATATTGCCTTTCAACCACACATAACATTCGAGCCAAAGGAAAATTTTTTAAAAATTTAAATTCAAGAGGCCCACAAGGCCAGGAAATAGTCTCGGCATATCAATTCACTGCATTCTGAGTCTTTACCGCTCAAATTAGCATGCACCCTTCACTCCTAAGGCCTATAGAAAATCAGGTTGTCAGCTTTAAAGAATAGTCATAAATTTCACCTCTTTCAGAAACTCCTGGTTGGTTCTTTAGAAATTTGTGTTTATGGGGAAAACAAACATATTGATGACAAGTTAGAATTATGTACTTTTATCCCAAGGATATTGAGACTTTTCTCCCATTGAAGAATTTAGTTGTTTTGTTGTTGTTATTTCTGAAATTACGTTTCCACTTTGGTAATAAAAACAATAAATGATTTATTGAAATTGCCTACTTGGGTTTCATCTACAGAACATACATAGGAGAAAATTATTAATATTTTCTTTTCTTCTTTGTTTTGCCGTCCTGGGAATTGAACCCAGAACCTTGCACATGTTAGGCAAGTGCTCAGCTGCTGAGCTACACCCTCTGGCCCTAGTTTTTCTTTCAATAAGAATCTATTACCAAAAAAAAAAGAGAATTTATTTCAGCAAGAAATTGTTGTTGTATAAATATGTTTACATTTATATCTAGAACATTTGTGGCACAGACATAAATAATAATTAATCCAACCATGGTTGACTACACAGTACAACTTCATTATATTTACACTACTAAGGGTTTGTTTACTAAACTTTTCCTTCTACATTATAAATTTAGCATTCTTTACATGTCCTATATTTTGATATTTTTATTTCTAATAGCTGAGAGATGCATAAACATGCCCTTGTTTGTGTCATATTTTTAAATACCAGATCATGTCACACTCTTTTGCCTTTAGATATAGATCTGGGAATCTACTGCTGCATAACAAACCATGCCACTATGTGATGGTTTAAATAACAACAATCATTTATTTCTCTCATGAATTTGAAATTTGGTCAGGGTTTGGTGGAAAAGGCTTATCTCTGCTGTACACAGTGTCACCTGATGCAGTTGGACCAAAGGCTGGAAGATCTTTTGAGATGGCTCATTTATATGGTTGGCAAGTTGGTGCTGGCTGTCAGCGGGATTTCAACAGGAGTCCTGTATGGGGACCTCAGTGCCTCCCCACTGGAACTTTTTATGGGATGCTTGGCTTCCTCACAGGCTGGTGATTGGATTCCAAAGGCACGCATCCCAAGAAGACTGGACAAAAGATACACAGTGTTTTCTAATTTAGCCTCCTAAATCACTTGGTGTCCCTGCACATTGTATTCATGAAAGCAATCCTATAAATTCACTCAGATTCAAAGAGAAGGGAATTAGACTTCACCTCTTGATAGAGGAATGGAAAATTTTTAGAAGGTGTTATGCAACTAGAGATAATGTCGCAGCCATCTTTGGAAAAATAAAATCTGCCACAGGTACGTTGTTCTCTTTGCCTTGAATTCTCTTTCTGTCTTTGTTCTCTGTAAAACCCAGTTCATTCCTCAATGATCTACTCAGACATTACTTTCATTATGAAACATTTTCCTAGGAAAGTGTTAATCACCACCTCTGCTGTGTCAACTATGTGTCTTATAAATACCTCTGTTATTCCCCATTATACAGTGTCTAGCTGAGGCAAGAGAATAGCAAATTCAAATCCCACCTGAGCAATGCAGTGACTTACATTCTGTCTTAAAATACAAAAATGGCCAGAGAGGTAGCTCAGTGGGAAGGCCCTACATACAATCCTCAGCATCACAAAGGGGGCGGGGCTGGTAACGAACAGTGTTTGCAGTACTGGCTCTTTTTCCCAGTGTTTATATTTTATTAGTACATGTTTGCAGTACATGATGATTGCATTCCTCATGGGGAGTTGATACATGTACATAACACATCTTAATTCTCTTGTCATCCCCTTTACTTCCCTTACTCCCTCCATCTCTTGGTCCCCTTTTCTCCTGCATAATCTCACTATGTTTTTACGCAGTCTGGACCCGAACTTGCATTTCTCCTGCCTCAGCCTCCCTGAGTACTGGGATTACAGGTGTGTAAGCACCCAGCTGTTTGTGAACTCTTCCTGAGCCATCACCAGCAGGCTCAGTTGTGGCTGATAAAGCCCTGATGGTCTAAAGCAGTCTTCAACTCCTGCTGATGTCACAACTGAGTTCTATTCCACAGCAGAATTCTGCTCTTAGAACCAGCTCAGCTGAAGCCCTAAGGGGGCCTCATGCTCTCAAATTTTACTACTCAGAGTGTGGTCTGGTCCTTCACCAGTTTCCAGTTATCACCAGAATGCTCGTTAGAATCTCAGATCACCCGGTTTTACTTCAGGCATACTATACCTACATTTTAACAAGATCCCCAGTAATTTGTTTGCAGAATAAAGTTTGAGAAACACTGCTTTAAAGGGCATTTCTGTGGCTGCCCTTTAAGGAGTGAGTAGGACCAAGTGGATGTGCACATCTGAAGTCCAAGTCTCTGCTTCAAGACCATGCTTCAAGTAAACAGGATGATGGAATTCGCTTCCCTAAATGCTTCCATGATAGTTTTGTTTTCCCTAGAAACTGACTGGATTTCTTCCTCTGGGCCTGTCCCCCTAAAGGAGACTTTTTTTCAGTGTTGGCGATAATTGGCAATTGGTTTGTGGACCCACACTTCCAATGAATTACATCCCCAGCCCCTTTTTATGCTTTATTTTTGAGACAGGCTTTTATTAAATCATTAATTTGCCCAAGCTGGGCTGAAACTTGCCTCAGCATTTCAGACTGCTGGGTGAGTGCCTCTGTGTCTGGCTCGTGCAACCGTAGGTTGAAGGGTGGTCCATGAGGAGCTGTTTGTGAGGGCACTAGGGGAGGAAGGGCTGGAACACAAATCTGTGGCTGAGATGTACACACATAGGCACACACACTTACGGTATGTTCACAGATGACAATACCACACACATACACACAAACATGCACAACTTGGGTAGAATTAGAGCCAGCTGGGGAGAGTAGGCTGGAGTTATGACTTCCATTTGTATTTTTCCCCCCAGGCTCCCAAATAGGGGTCAAATAAACACACTTTTCCAGCCTGTTTAGCAGGCTTTTTGATAGGGATGGCATTGAAGTTACAGATCAAAATGAGAAAAGCCATCTTGGCAATATTGAGTGTTCCAGTGGAACATCTTTCCATTTATTTTGGTATTCCTTAATTTCTTTCAATGGTATTTTATAGTTTTTAGTGTAGATCTTATATTTTTATGTTAAATTTATTCCTAAGTATTTTATTGTCTTCATTATCAGGAAGGGAATATTTTCATAATTTAAATTTCTGATTGTTCATTGCTATTATAAAAATTATATTTTGTATTGACCTTGTACCCTAACTAAAGTATTTTCTTAGTTTTATTCAATAAAACTCCTTTAGCGTTTTATAAAGGACTATGTTATCTGAAAACAAGGAGTTTTACTTCTTTCTTTCCAATGTGTTTCCCTTAATTTAAAAAGCTTTAATTGCACTAGCTATAGAAAGTTCAGCACTATGTTGCATAAAAGTGTTGAACGCAAAATCTTTGCTTTGTTCCTCGTCTTAGAATGAAAATATTCAGCCTTTCAGCGTTAAGAATGATGTTAGCATATGTACATATGTTATATGCTTTATCAGGTTGGGATGTTCTATTCTTAGCTTGAGAGTTCTTATTAGGGGTGGATACTGGAGTTTTTAAAATACTTTGTATCTACTGACATACGGTTTTTGTCCTTTATTATAGTAATTAATTCATTTTAATTCTTTTTTTAAAATATGTGCTTTGAGGAATTTTTAGGGCTTCCCGAATTTCAAAGCCAAAATTAGTTGAAGTATCTCTTTCTCTGTTTATCCTGGAAGAAACTAATTTTCTACTCTGAAATAAAAGAATCTGAGTGTCCAGTATTACTCCCAGCCTCTTGCCTGATTGAGTTTAGTTTCTCTTCCTTTTAGGAAGTTTAAATTGCATTAGGATTTTGTTGAAATGTTCAATAAGAAGAGTCCAACTTCTGAGGAACAAATTGGTGTAAATTGATATGAAATTTAGACACAATTAGGCAAAACCTACCTCCACATCATCTCCTTCTCTGCCATTACTTTTGCAAATCACCTGGCACCAGGAGGAAACTAAGTCTCCAGATGTTGCTGGTGTGGAGAACAGTTGTAGAAACAAAATTGAGAACTGAAGGAGACAGATGATGTGGTACAAAGATTCTGAGTGAGCACCTTAATGAACAAACTCAGATTCTTCATCCTGATAATATTAAACATTCATTGATGTTCACTATGTATCTGGATTATTCAAAGTGCACTAAGTGACCTCATTTAGATATCAAAGCAACCCTCTTAGGTGAATACAGATAATCCCCATCTCCGTGATTGTTGATGACTTTTTTTAACTTTATGGTAGTTCAGAAGTGATAAACATTCAGTAAGAACAATACTTTGAATTTTCATCTTTCCCTGCTAGCAAGATATGGAATGGTGCTCTCTTGAAATGTGGAGCAGCAGCCATGAGCCTCAGCTCCCAGTCAGCCACAAAGTCATGAGGATAAACAACCAATACTCTACAGTATACTGAGTTTCTAAATTAGGATGTTCAGTCAATCAGGTGTGTCAAATGTACTTTCAATTTACAATATTCTCAACTAATGATGGATATATCAGGACATAACTCCTTTGTAAGTTGCAGAGCATTAGCATAATCATTGCCCCATTTTACACAAGAAGAGACTGAAGCACAGATTGATAGGGCACTTAGCTTAATGTCCTGCATCTAGTAAGTGATGGAGCTAGTATGCAAATACAGGGCTGAGGGACTCCAGAATCTGTATACCTAATCACTATGTAATATCAAAACAAAGCAGGGAAATTATTAATACTGGGTCCCAGTACTTTGCAGCTTGTGTGGGGGTAAAACTTGTACCTCTCATACATAAAGTTAGATTCCAGCATTGACTATTTTGTCTGTTAGAATCAACCCTCTGAGTCCAGTATCAAAAGTGTGTGTGTGTGTGTGTGTGATTTTTAAAAAGGCCATTTAAAAATGGGCAAAATATTTGAACAGGAACTAAAAGAAAGAAGTTATACAAATGGCAATAACATGCTTATGAAAAGATTCTGACTTTCATTTGTCATTAGATAAGTGTAAACTAAAATCATAATGAGGTATCAGTACACATTTATCTGAGTGTTAAAATTGAAAAGGTTGATAATGCTATTTGTGAGAGTGATGAACCACCAGAACTCTCAAATGTTTCAGGTGGGTAGGGGAAATGATAGAACCACTTTAGACAATTGTTTGGCAGTTTCTTATAAAGTTAAATATAAACTTATCATATGACCCAGTAATGCATCTCCAAGCCATTTCCCCAGAGGAAATGCCAATATATGTCCAAGAAAAATTGTAGATAATGGTTATAATAGCTGTTTGTGGTCATTTTAAACTGGAAACACCCTAAATGTCTGTCTATCATGAAATGGATAAACAAATTGGGGTATGTCCATATGTGAAACAACATGAATGAACCTTCAGAGCTTTATGTTGAGGGAAAAGCTAGACACACAAAATGTACTGATGGTATAATTCCATTTCTATGGAGCTGTAGTGCAGGCAAAATTCACCTTGTACAACAAGATTGGTGGCTTTCAGCAAGAGCAGATCAGTGCTTGCTAGAGGACTAGGAAGTTAGATGCAGGATAAGTTTAACTGCAAAGAAGCAGAAGAACTTTATGGAGTGATAAGACATGTTATATATCTTTTTATAGTGATATGAGCATAGGTGAATATTATCAAAAACCCTTTACATCATACACTTCAGATGTGTCAACTGTACATAACTTATACTTCAAGAAAAGAGACTATTATACTATTCTTTGAAGTATAAAAATTATAATTCAAAAGTTGATTTAAAAAGAAAAATAATACATATGATGAGAAATACCAAAAGAAAACATTTTATCTTTGATTCATTTGTTAGCTAAAAAGTTTTTATGAGAAGAAGGGAAAAACAAAAGGTGTGTTTCCTGAGGTCCATTGTTCTGGAAGAGAGTTTAGGTGACATACTATTCTGGGGACATCTTTTAGGTGTCTGACTGGCTAGAAGGAAAGGAGCAAGAGGGGAGATGTATGGAGGGAGGTGAAAACATTGTCTGCTGCACAGTTGCCCCGGATTGAATTGGGCTGAGTGCTGTTCATTCTCCTGTTACATAATACTATAATTATTTGGTTTTTAGTGTTTCACTCCCTAAAGGGAGTGAGATAGAGAAATCAAGAGAAAATAAAAAGATGGAATGGGATACAGTGAGGGGCCAGAAACATTTAGACACTGATTGCTTAATTATGTTGAAAATAATTTACTGCTCAAAGCGGGAAGAATGGGAGAGCCCTTAAAGGAGGATAGAGGAAGGGCTGGGGTGTGTCTGAGGCACGGGAAGCCTGTGTCCTAATGCTGCTTCATCTTGTATTTTTCTTTATGAGTGTCAAATAGCCCTTGGAAGCACTATTCCTTAGATAATTGAATATGTAAATCTCATATAACTACCTATAGCAATGTCTTTCAAACTTAAAGGTGTAGGGCTGGGGATGTAACTCAGTGTGAGGACCCTCAGTCCAATCCCCAATATGGCAAAAAAAGAAAAAAAAATGCATCAAATGATGGGCACCGTGGTACATCCGTAGACCTAATACTTGAGAGGCTGAAACAGGAGGATTGCTTCAGTGCATTGTTCAAGGCCAGCCTGCACAACACAATAGTGAGACTCTATCTCAAAAAAAAGCATCAATACTTATTTTAATTGTGTGTGTGTATGTGTGTGTGTGTGTTGTAAAAGGAACCAAGAAAACTAAATTAGATGTTAAAGTAGGAAGTTTGGGGCCTTCTAACGTAGGGAACATATGCCTTGCTACTAATTGCACTGACCAAAACCCAATTTTAGAGATTATTAAGTAGCATGTGCTTCAAATTCTTTTTTTTTTCTCAAAGCCCATGAAATTGGTACCAAACCTGAAACGTTTATTGGCCTGTCTACCTAACACATTATAGCACGATGCAAAAAGATATGAAGAGACTGAAGTGGAAAAGGGCAAGCCATACCATTTCTTGCTCTTTACCTTGTGATCCTTTGTTC